CCAGCAATTCGTTGTCGTTATCTGTGTAATACTTTCTCTTCTGTGATATGAATGTCTGCAAAAGCTTAGGCTAAGGTGAACTGTTTGTGCAGTGTGATGGGTGGCGCTTTGTTTTTATGACCACTTCTACAGGTCAGTGAGATGCAGCCGAAGACTAGGAAACGGGTGCTCGTCCTGCCTCCTGTTGTCCCTGACACCCAGCAGGTCTCAAACTTGGAAAGTGATCACAATTTTCAGAAGTGCCAACAAATTCATATCGGTGTGCAAAAGCTCAGCGCCCACTGGGGTTTGTTCTGGAACCACAGGCGTGGAAAGTACTCAGAACTCGTGCGGAGAATCGGGAATCACGGCAGGGTGTGTGCATGGTCGCCAGGACCCCCGGGGAAGCCTACGGGGCCTGAGTTTGCCAGCATATACTAGTATGTATTTGAATATTGAGCACCCACTCAGAATTGCACAAATGGAAGACCATTTTCATTTACATTTACACATTTTTAGCCATTACTTCATTTCTAATTGAACAGGTCAAACTCATCTGTGAGCACAGGACTTTTATTTTGGAGCTCATCTTCATTGTGTGTTTTTTTCCAGCCGGTGGAGTTTGGCGTATATATTGTTTATGCTTTTGGTGTAATTAATAAACTGGTTCTTCAAAAGTCACTCTAAAAAGTGAGTGTTTGTGACGTTAATGGGATGCTCCATGACTTGTACCCGGACCCAGGTGTCTGTCTCCAAGCTGAGTCAGCCTCCTGGGAAACCTGTTACCGGGGTAGTGTCCAGCGGGCCACCTCGGGCAGGCTCTCCTCCCGTATAGTCTGACGACCCACGGGGGCGGGGAGCTGACCCCAGGACTCTCGCACTGTCCGCTACCCCGCGCGGACCCCCTCGCTGGGAGCTCCGGCCAGAGTGAAGGTCAGGTATGTGACGGGGAGCGGCCGGTGAGGTCACCCGAGAACACACCCTGATGGAGGACGACGGAGGAGCATCTAGAGACAGGACGATGGAACCGAGGGTCCTGCGAAGGGGCTCGGAGGCCGGAGGGAAATCGCGCTGCGCCGGCGGACTGCCCGCGGGGAGGTGCTGCGCGTGCGCAGTGCGGGCCGGTCCCGGAAGTACTTCGCCGTGGCAGCGGCCCCGGAAGTGATGAGCCCTTCCGAGTAGGTGAGTGCGGGTGCGGAGGCCGCTGCCTCGGGAGGCCCAGGTGGGGGCGCCGGGAGGAGGGAGGAGGCCGTAAGCGGGGACAGCGGCGCCGACCAGGCGACCCTCCGCCCCCGTCCTGTGTGTAGCGGGACAGTCGCCGCGGGCGTGAGCGCGGGCACCTGGGAAGCCGGCCCGGGAGCCCGGGAGCCCGGCAGTGCGCCTTCCGCGGGGCCCTACGAACCGCCCCCTGCTCCTCCCGTCCCCGCGTTCATGCACCCAATTTAAAGAGCTCAGATATTCCCTTTGACGCACGGACCTAAATACTAAACATTGTCTTCTGGATGCTTCTTTATAACTGTTAGTGGCACAGAACAGCGTTAGCACGCACCGGTTTTTATGAACATTCCATTGAAGTGTTAACTGCAAGTGCAGCCCTCGAACGCTGGGTGGTTTTCCAGTGAACTCGCTCACACGGCTGCCCTTTGCAGGGAGGCGAGTTTACCAGGTCCGCTTTTTGCTCGCCGGCCGGCAGGCGAGGACCCCGCGGAAAGGAGGTAGGGGAGGCAGAATGCGGTTCTTCTAAATGCAAGTTTGCTCTCAGATCTGTTTAAGCAAAGAGAACACAGCCAACGTTAAGAAGCAGAACGCTGGCTCCTTGGAAGTTAACCTTGGGAAGTGGTTGTGTGTGCATACTTCACTTGGAAGATGCCTGCTGGGAGGCCAGAGGACACTCTGACTGGGCAAGCTGCTTCACCTCGCCCAGCCTCCCCTGCTCTAAAATTGGCATAAAAAATGTCAGGGTCAGGGTCAGGAATCATGGCCCCACCACATAGGAGAATTTAAGGAGGGTTTCTGAAAGGAGAGTGGGGAAACGGTAGAGGTGGTGTTTTAACCTGGAGGGGTGACATTGGAGTGGCTTCCACCCCTAGACACCAAGGCACAAGGGGAGGGGCAGTTATAGAGGACAGCGGTGTCATCTAGGGATCGAGCGGGGCAGGGAAGTCACTCACCCTCCTGGCCTCCTGCTCCTCCAGTCTCTGCCAGAGATCGGGAGCCCAGGGGCAGGGCCTCAGAGCAGCAGGACACCCATGTGCACTACTGCCCGCTCATACCGTTATTGTAAGGAATAAATATAAAAGTTCCCGTACAAGGTCAGGCAGAGGTTCCTGGCAATAATAACTCCCATGGCCCAGTAGAACTGAACTTCACACTTTAGGGAACAAAGTAGCTATATCTGAAGCGTAGCCCTTGCCATGTGACTCTCCAGTCTTTATTTTAAAAAAAGAAATGGTTTTTGGTTTTATTCATTTCAGGGAGAGGGAGAGAGGGATAGAAAGAAACATCAATGATAAGGGAGAATCAGCCGCCTCCTGCACACCCTTTACTGGGCTTGAGCCTGCAACCCGGGCCTGTGTCCTGACCAGGAATGGTCATGGGTCGACAGTCACTGAGCCACACCAGCTGGGCTCTCTTTAGTCTTTCTAAAGCCCCATCCTGGAATCAAAGTTCGTCCATCTTGGACCAGGACTTTTGTACGCACAGTCTCATCTTTTGTACTCTGCTCACCTGGCCAGGTAAACATGTTGAGGCGGACACATTCCCATCTGTGCTGTCCAGTTTGGTGCCCACTGGCCACGTGGCCATGAGTGCTTGGAATGTGGCTTGAATGACTGAGTTTTTACATTTTCAAGTTTTTTAATTGATTTAAATTTAGTAGCCACATGTGGCCAATGGGCAG